GGAGAGATGAGAGAAAGGAGGAGGGAGGGAGGGACCTAGAGAGGGGAAAGGAGTCAACAAAAACGCCCCACCCCACCCCATCCTTCACTCTGCTGTTATGTTGTCAAACCCATTATTACCCTAAAGGTGCTATTTTCAGGCTCCTGGAAGAGGTATTTTGGAGCAGATAGTTGATGATTAAGTCATACCTAGCACATAACCCAGTACCTGATAATCATCATTTGAAGGAGACAAGCCATAATTTGCCCTGTATTTAACTGTCATCCCACAGTGCATGTTAATAACACTCCCAGGGGGTCTACAGAGATTCACAGAGGTTGCACTGGCTGAAACCACTAGCAGTGCACCAACTTAATTCTTGGGTTTTGCATTATTAGACCAGCAGGCTCTTTTGCCCCTGCAAAAGGATTTAACTAGAATTTCGGTCCCCTCAGAAACTTGTATGCCATCCAGTTCCCTATTTCTCTGCCAGCTTCATCTGTGCAACTCATCTTGGGTTACGTCTGGCAGATGGAGAGAGGAATCTCATTTCAAGCCTGTGCTGTATCCCAGAGCCCTCCCTGAGCAGCCTCTATTTCACAGAGGAGAGAAGAGAAGAGGGGGGACAATCAGCCTCCCCAAGAGATGAGAGTGTAAAGTATTTCTCAAATTTTCATCTTCAATGGTTGGTATCATTTAACTCCCTGGAGGGGGAGACTATGCTTTGCTGCTTAGGCTAGCAATATAATCTCTAGCTATCCCAATGCCAAAATATCAATTACAGGTTCATTTGGATGATGGGATAAACTGGTGTTCAGACCACTAGACAATGACATAAATTGGAGATGGGAGGAGAAGGTGCTGGAGGAGGTTGAGTCTCAGGATAGAAATGAAACTAAGCTGAATTCTTCATATCCTTGCAAACTAAGTAACTCAATTCTAAAGCACTACTTGTCTCATAAAGAGAAACCCACCAGCAATAAACCTGAAGAAGGTATTCCTGAAGAGATTTTCTTCTTGGAGATTCTAATTAAAGAGAAGTCAACACTCCCATAGCACCCCAGCTCTCCTGGAGTAACCATAAGGGAAGACTGAAAACATAAATGACTCGTAATTAAAAATAAATGTCTCACCAAACACAGGGAATGAGATAGTGTTTGATTCCATTTAGATGAAATAGCTAGAACAGGTAAATCCACAGAGACAGGAAACAGGCGGGTGATTGCCAGGGTCGTTGAGGGGAGTAACTGCTTAAGGGGTACGATGCTCTATTTTGGGGTGATAAAAACGTTTTGGAATGAGATAGAGGTGGTGGCTGTACCCTATAAATGTACTAAATGCTGATGAATTGTTCAACTTTAAAATGGTCAATTTCATGTTATGTGAATTTCACCTGAACAAAAACAAATTAGTAAATATTTTATAATAAAATATTTTGTAACTAAAGGCCTCACTGTTTCTCATTGGTCAACAATCTACCACTACTGGGAAATGAAGAGGATGTTATTTCTATTCCACAGTGAGAAGAGAGATTAAATAAGCTTCTAAATTCTAATATTCGTCACCTTTCCTGTGAAAAGCCTCGTATTTTCCCAGAATGTCTGTAGGCGGGAAGTAATTCAAACCAGTGACCCCTGACTTGCTTGGCTGTTCACCATCAGCAGCAGCAGCAACAACTGTTTACCTGCAGTTGCAAAGTGCCAGCCAGATCATCAGAAGTCGATGGGGTGCACCTGTGTTTACTGGACCTGGAGCCCCCTGGCAGGCCCTTGGGATCTAGCTGTGTTCTGGGGAGAGGTGGTGACATCAGACGACACCTGGAGGTCTTTTAATTCGGTAGAAAAATATAAAGACCCTGCTCTTTCCACACACTTTCAGCATTAAAAAAAAAAAAATTGATTTCAACAAAGAGTAGAAGCATCTTTGGAAGAGAGGCAGCTTTTTTCTCTCCTTTTGATACTAAGAACATATGCTTCGACACACAGATCCAAAGCCGTCAGCTGTTATGTGGAAAGAGAAGCCCAAGAACTCAGAGGGAATAAAAACATATTGAGAACAGAGATAAAAAGAAGGGACCTTGAAAAGAAACTAAAAGACTACGTAACAACCACCAAAAAAAAAAAAAAAAAAA